GCCCCCTTCACCAGAGTTAGAAACGCGTTACAGAACCAAGCACCCCATGCATCTCATCCCTCTCCATGTACTGTACGGAGTACGTACACTCTCCATCTCACTCTCACTCGAAACCAACAGCGGTCCACCAGCTCCATGACGTCCGACACATCACCCACCGTCCGCCCGCTGCCCCCCGGCATATACCCCCCGGAGCTCCATTCCCGCCGTCCTCAATACCAACCCTCACCCGGCGACGGACAACCCGCGGCAGTGCCGTCCCGGCTGTGGCGCAGAACCTTTATTCACCTTTTCCCCCATCCCACATTCCTCCTCCTTCCATGCCGCATTCATCCACTCGAAGAAGTTCGGCATCCTTTCATTCCCCTGGTATCCGCATTCCTTTCCCTCTCCTTCGTACCTGAATCCCGCACGCGCGCGGAAACGCCACTCCCGTCATCTGTTTCTCTACCCATCACATTCCCTTTCTCCCATTCCCAAACGGACAAACCACGTACAAAGAAAGACGCCGGTACTCGTATCCCGTATATGTTATATCCCACCTTTCCAACCCCTTCACCCCCTCCTCGCCGAATCAAGTTAGCCCCCCACTCACGAAATGGACCCCTTCTCGCCATGGATGACGGGGTTCTCTTTCCCGACTTTTTTTTTTTTGTTTCACAGCCTCTCTCGGGCAGGGGTAAGCATCGAGAACGTTCCCACCCTGCTTCCCTGGTAAAGAAAAGGATGAAACGCCGTTTGCGAATGAATCACCCCCGCGCCGCTAAAATCTCAGGCCTCGAGTCGAAGAACAAGAGTGATATGTTTTCCCCCTTCTACCCCGTAACTTGTGGCTTTCTAATCCGAAAATCCCCTCACGTCCGTACGGCAATTGAGACTCAGAAAACGTGTCGTAGGTGATGTGCCTGTGGGGTCTCATGTTGAGTCGAAACAAACGTCATCCCTGAGAGCCAGTGTCGTGGCTTTCACGGCCTTCTGCCCCTCCAGGGGAGGCTGAGGCTAGGAGGTCAAGACAAGTCTTACTTAAAATGCTCACCATCTATTCCCAAAGCCTCAATCACCTCATCCGCGATCCCTGGGTTTGACCATGCTTTTCTTCTCGCAGAGGGTTCGGATGAGGGCGTCGAATCTTAGCCTCAATCCTTCTTTTGACATGAATGTCCATAGATATATTATTTTCGATGAATGTTGAGATATCCAAAGCGATGCCGATTATGTCTACAGCTTTCTCAGTAAAGATGGGCCTAAACACAGCATCCAGAAGTTCCTCCTACAGCTACTCGCACGTGTTTACCGCTCAAGTCACACCGCGCTGCCATAATGCGACATCCAGTTAAAATTCATCATCGATCATCAACGTGCCAAAACTCCACCCAACTAGTGCAAATGCTTCAAGCAACACCTCGGGATGTAATTCAACAATGCAGACGCCTCCCTGCCATGACCCAAAGCGCGCTTCCCGAAAAGACGACGCAATGCAACAAGAAAGCCCAGGTCCGCCACCTCGCGCGTCGGGGACTCAATTGAACTCGGAAAACAACCCGCTCAACTCATCCTCCTTGCCGCGATCCCACTCCCGCTTCTCCCCAGCCTTGGCCCACCGCACATCCCGCTCGTCCTTCTGCTCGTCGGCCGTGCCGCCCTCCCTCCACTTCTTCAGCATCACATCGGTGTACCCGGCCGCCCGCATCCGCTCCTCCTGGTTCTGCCGCCACTTCTGCCTATCCCTGAACGCCTCCACGGCGTCGTCCCAGTTCTCTCCCGGGTGCTTGTCGTCGTCAGCCATCTCCACGTCCGTTTTGGGGTTGTAGCCCGCTTCAAAGCGCTTGTCGATGCCCGAGGCCCCTGAAGCGGTGCCCCGGCCGCGCGAACGGATTTGCTGCGGCGGTTCCGGCCCGATGAACTCATCCAACGGGTCTGAGTCTGATGCTGTCGTCTGAGGCTCCTGCTCGTGCACTCGCCCTCCGTCGCCGCGGCGGCTGCTGCCCTTGATCGAGAATCCCGACAATGGCCTCTCTCGGCTCCGGTCTCTGCGTGACCGATGACTCTTCGACATTAGATCCTGTCCTTCTTCGTCTCGTCTCCTTTCCCTATCACTTCGCCGGGACTTTGACGCAGTCTCCCTATCCTCGATTGGCGACCGATGGCGGTGCCTCCTGTGCTTTTCGTCGGGTGAGCGTGACCTCCGGCGATCGCTCTTATGCCGTCGACGATCGTCCCGCTCCGAGTCCGCTTCGTCCCTTCTACTCCGCCGGTGCTTCCTACCGCTCTCGCGTTCTGGAGATTCGCTCCTGCGTTCTTTTTGATGTGTCTTCCGCGATGGCGAGTCTCCCCTCTTGTGCGACTTCTCGTTCGATGTCCCTGAACGACTGGGCCTGGCCCTGTCCTTGCGGTCTCCCAAGATGGATAGGATGTCTCCCATCTGTCTCTTTCGAATATCCTGCGGGCCTGCCTTTCTCCGCCTCTCCTTCTCCTCGGCGTGTTCCAAATCCTTCAAGCGCGCGCGAGATTCGGCGGCCTCTTTGGCCAGGAGGTTCTTGTTATGCGTGTTCGTGTCCTTGATGATGTGGCGCAGGAAACGGGTGTTTGGTTTGGGCATGTTTGCCGGTCTAAAGGGAGGATCCAATTAGATGGTGACGTGAGGAAACCGGGAGAGTCGTGGGACGTACTTCTTGTCTGCCCTGCCCATAACTGCCTCTTTGGCGAGCAAGTCGGCGACATAGTCGTCCGTGATCATGTCGTGGCTTGACATTGTGAGGCCTTGGTAACCAAAGTGTAGATTCAAAAAGTGTTGAGATGACCACGCGCCTTCCGAGCACGCAAGATCAGGCTGATGGCTGCGGCATCCGGCGGCTGGCTGAGATATGTGCCTCTTTTTGTCGCGAATAGAAGAGAAACGCGGGGGTTCTAGAAGTGCCGGTCTCGGATCGATGAAAGAAGTCAGAAATGACAGTGGCAGGGCTCTTCGCTGAGGCTGTTGACTGAGGCGATGGAGAGGGGCAGCGGGGGTTCGCTTAGTTGGAAGGTGTCGTTGTCGCAAACTGCGGCGTTTGGAGGATTGATCGACGACAGCAGCAAAGGCCGCCAGAGTCACTTCAACAAGGAACTTGGCGCGCAGTGGGATGAGCCTGCGCCATGCCTGCCGTTTTCCGCACGGCCAGGTACCTTATCAGCAGATACAACATGTCGGAGATAGCGATAAGATAACGATGGCACCTTCCCAAATCTAGACCTAAGTAAACAAACGACACAAAGATGAAGCGCCCACCTTACCATTGGTTACTTTACTGACAGACTTTGGGCGCTCAAGGGCAAAGAATTAACAACCGCGACAGACCTCCCCCGCCGACATCATCTCCGACGCGCCAACGACGAAACTTGAATCGCCAGCGCACCTACTGGGACCAAGATATACGACAACAACACAGCTAATCAACCTTCCAAAAAAAAAAAAAAAATGGACGCGGGAAAGGCGGCCCAAGTGTTGCGCAAAATCGAAGACCTTAACGAAAACCATGAAATCTCAATCATCAGACTCAGCGAACCCATCTCCAGCGCCGTTGCGCAAGAATCACGGCAAAGGACGTCAGACGCATCCAACGCATCCCAAGATGCCGCGACACCAGCCAGCCTAGAGGCCGACCTCGAGCACTATAAGGAGCTCTTCGCCAAGCTCCGCTTCTCCTACGTCGAGCAAGTCACGAAAGAAAAGTTTATACGCGCCATCGTTGGCGATCCGCCCGTCATCGTCACGCCGCAGGAGAATCTGGAGCTGGAAAAGGCGAACCTCGAGGCCAAGGCGCAACTCAAGGCGCTCAAGGTGGAGGTCGCGGATATGGTGACGGAGCTGGAGAGGAAGGGCAAGGAGCTGGCGAAGCGGTACGAGAACGTGTCGCTGGACACGACGAAGCTGAGGGAGCTGCCCGACAAAATTGCCGAGTTGGACGAGCAGGTGGCGGAGCTCAAAGAGTCGCAAGCACCGGGACAGAGCCCGATGATGAACCTGCCTCTTGCGAGGACCCTCGAACTGGTGGACGAGAAGAAGAGGCAGCAGCAGCAGTTGGATCGTGAGCTGGAGCAGTTGCAGGCCAGGGTGCCGCGCAAGAGAAAGGAGCTGGAAAGGCTGCAGGCTGAGTTGATGCCCTTGGAGGCCAAAAGGCAGAATAGTACGGCAGCTGCCAAGGAGGCGCGAAGGCGGAAGGATAGAGCCGGTGGTGATGCAGACGACCTCGAGGAGCGGGGCCGCTGGTTGAGAGCTAGCGAGGCGGCGCTCAAGCAGATGTTGGATATTCAGGGTTGAGAGTGGGTTGGTATCAAGGGCGGATGGGAAGATGGTGGACGACATGATGATTTTGTATACCCGCACACAGCAGACCCAGTCATGGGTCAAGAAACGGCGTTCCCAGGCGTTTGGAGATGACATGAATTCACCGACACGCTTTTACTGATACATGGTCGATTGTTTAATGGCGCCAAGTAATGCCATCACCCAATGGTGGAATGCGACTTTACCTTTTTCTTACCTCTCGTCCTCACCTCATCTCTTTCTGAGTGTCAATTGCTGTATTATTACGTGGTAGCTGGCATACGATACGAGGTACGAGGAGCATCCGCTGCAGTCTCAAAGAGACAAAATAGTCCCAAATGGGGCTGTCCAGGGGTTTGTCACCAGCAAAAAAATGATGGATTGGCGGCTGGAAAACAAGACCCACCAAGAATTGAGGACAGGGATGCGGCGGCGGTGCACAGGCAGGTCAAGTCCCCTGGCTCGCCGGGAAAGGCGTTGATTGGACGAAGATCGAACCCTCGGTCACGTGTCGTGCCATCCACGAATTTTCAGAGTGGCCGGATGGGTAGGCCCCACCAAGCCCAATCCTCTCGCTTAGGTCACGCACCACGAAATTTGACAATCGAGCGTCTTTCTCGATTGATTCCTCCGCGAACCAACTAACCGACCAGCAACCACCGAACACCATCGTCGACCACCGAATACCGCCAAGATGAGTACGTTTTAGCCGCCGCCGTCGTCGCCATCGTCTTCGCGACGAAAGGTTGACCATTTTACGCCGTTCCGATGGACTGACCGATGTTTTTTTTCTCGTATAGCGAAGGGTACCTCCTCGTTTGGTAAGAGACACAACAAGACGCACACCTTGTGCCGTCGTTGCGGTAAGTGGCATCTACCTGGGAGGGAGTCAAGTTCTGGTTCACTAGGACGCGACTACTTGCCAAAATTCGAGATTTGAGACGGGTTCAAGAGACTGATAAATATTTTGTTTTCAGGTCGCCGATCGCTTCACATCCAGAAGCACACCTGCTCTTCCTGCGGTTACCCCTCGGCCAAGACCCGCAAGTGTACGTTTATCCCCCCGAGCGACGAATCCAATCCGAATCCCCAGGCATACCCAATATACCAATCCCCCAAGATGATCTCAATTCACGCCGCATCTTTTACGCCTACCCAATACACGCAACAACCACACAAGAACTATGAATCGAGAAAGATGAAGAGGAGTTACTGACCTAGGATGCGATTTACAGACAACTGGTCCGAGAAGGCCAAGCGGAGAAAGACCGTCGGCACCGGCCGCATGCGCTACATGAAGGACGTCTCCCGCCGCTTCAAGAACGGCTTCCAGTCCGGTGTCCCCAAGGGTTCCGCCGGCCCCACCGCGCAGGAGTCGTGAGCGATGATTGGAATGTGATTCGGGTCGACATGGGGAGGTATCTGTGCAATCGAGGGCATTCGGGCGATGGGGGAATGAAAAATTGAGATCGAGGCGGGGGCCAGGGAAGGCGTGGCAACGCCGCCGGAGTCTTGTCTACTCGGGAAACGATATCACGAAAAGAAATCAAAGGGAAAAATCAGCTCCTTTTTTTTCTTCTGCTTTTTCTTCCCTCCCTCTCTGTCTCTCTCACCCCTCCCCTCGGTTTTTTGACTCGGAAGCAAAGCCAATATCAAAAAAAGGAGTCAAAACAAAACCAAAGCATATGGCCAAAAATCGAAACGGGTGTTTTTACGTCTTCTCATGTTATCTCGCGCGCGGGCTCTTCAAGGGGATAAACTCACTTTTTTTTTACACGGGAAAAACGGATCCTGAGGGAAAAGAGAAATGACTTTGCTTGTCTTGTTCACTCACTGATCCCACGCGCAACTGGATAATGGTGACTGATCGATTCGTGGATACTTCCGATGCCGATTCGCCTCATCCCGATAATTTTTGATGCCATGCGTGCCCACGGCCGCACGGGTCATGACGAAACATCGTACTTTGACGTGACAGCTTGGATATCCCCTCATCATGAGGTGATACCTTGCCTTCGAGGGGTATATCATATCCGGACTCCAAACCGGTAGCAACCTTCCGACTTCCCTCCGTAGGATGAACAGCTTGACCGCAACCCAGCAGGTGATGACATGCAACTTCATACCTCATCACCCCCTTCCTTACATTGCATCACTGTCCCCTGCCAAACACCTTGACGCTCCCATCCCCACCAACAAAGTACAACAGTTCCATCTCCTCGACCGCCCTCTCCTCCTCGCCACCCCCTCCAGCCGTGACCCTCAACACCCCGCTGACGTCGCTCGCGTTTCCCGTGTCGAGCAGCCTCAGACCAATCACCGTCTCTGCGGCATGCGCCAGCCCGAGAACGAGACTCGCGTGCTCCTTCTCCAGCGTCGTGGTCTGCGCCGCTATGAGCGGCTCATCTGCTGCGACGGTGATGATGGAGGCGTGGACTTTCTGGATGATGTGTCAGTGAAGGGACCCTCTCTTGATCTGGGAATGATGAAACTGGGACGGGGAAGGACATATCCTCATTGGTGTAAAATAAGTTTTACACAAATGGAAAAGAAGTCATTCAAAAGGAGAAGAAAATGGGCCAGAAAGTAAGGTAGTAAGTGTACATACCTCTTGCACACCAAGCAACATATCCCTCAACGCAAGACCCGTGAGATCCTCGCCAGACGCAGCGAGCAAGAGGTCCGGCTGGTCCACAACCAGAACCGTCTTCGCATCCGCCGCGGACACATCGGATATCGCGCCGTCGAGCTCGCGCTGTATATCAGCCAGCCTTGCCCCACGGATGGTCCTCCGACCTTTGGGCGTCGTCATCGTCGTCGGCGGCGCCTGGTGAGGGGAGGAGAAAAGCCCACTCAGCCCGTCCACGAAGACGAATTTGCCGCTTCTTCCCAGTCCTTCTAAATCGAGGCCCTATGGTGCACGGTTAGTTTTGTTTCATTAGATTTCAAACGTGCTGGGTACTGGTAGGCAAAATGAGTTGGTGAGTAAAAAACTCTCATTGAAAATCTCATCGATGGAGGGGGGTTGGAACTTCGAGTGAGGGGCAATTTTTTCACCCGTCAAGAAGCAAGACGCGGAAAAAAACAAAACATACCAATCTCCCAGCGCCTTCCTTCCAAAACGCAAAATCTCTCATGAAGCTGACGAGAATGACGCGGACACCATCGCTCTGCGATGCAGAGCTGGCCCCTTCCTCAGCAGCGGCGTTGAGTTTCCTGAGGTACGTGTACAGGTACCGCAGGACGAGCCAGTTGGTGCTGGCGCCTAGGACGCTGGTGAGGAGGATCTGAGCGTATTCGGACGGGAGGGCGAGGTAGCTCTCCAGAAGGTGCGGTATCCTCGTCGCCATTTTCCTAACTCGCGTATGCTCTTGTGTGTCAATTCTGTATGAGGCGGACACTTGGTTGTTATGGTCCTGTAATTGAAGGCTTCACTTGGATTCAGTAGAGTCAAGGTGCTATTTTCCATTGCGCCTAGGTGTGGTGGGGCTCTTTTTAGCAGTGTTGAGAGTGGGTTGGCACTGTATTGAACTGGTCCTCTCATCAAAGCTGACCCTGGAATGAAGATTCTCCTGTCGCTGTCATGAGCTTCGCATTTTGATCATCTACCCTTCAGTGTTAGAGATGATTTGGTTCCTCTTCGTCTTGGTTCAGGATTCTTGCGCTTCAAATGCGTGTTCAGAATGCTTAGGAACCAACCTACAGAGTCAAGCCCAATCCATTTAATGATAACTTTTGGAACTTATCACGATTCCACTCAGTCTTACAAAGGCTGTTGAATGGACATGTACGGTACCACCACTTGGACAAGTAAAATATGCAGCGCTATCGATTGGTGTAAGGCATCTGACATTCATTGAATTCTTCGTCTTGACGTGTCAGTCCCTAAAACAAGCCAAGGCGAGTGAATATTAGCGCCAACATAGCAAAAGCAAAATATTCCGAAACCGAGAATCGAACTCGGGGCTATGCCTAACCTCTCACTAAGATGAGAGGGCATCATGTTGGCCACTACACCATATCGGATTGGATAAAAGGTTGAAACAGCAAAGGAAAATAAGAATGGTGGGCGACGTGACTGGCGGGATGTTAGGTGGATCTGGAGATACTTTTCGCGGAATTTGACGCAAGTTGAAGCACACTGAACAAAGTCCAATGTCTTGAAATTTAGCTTCCAGTTCAATGTAATACTTGTGGGTTGTATGCGTTCAGCATTAAAGGACCAATGCGCATCAACGTCGTGAGGTTGGATGTTGGAAGCGGGAAAGCTCAGTTGTGTAAGGGGCATTAGGCCTCAATTATGTGTTAAACGCAACGAACCTCCTCAAAGATGACTTACGCCCGTTGAAAGTCCAGCCGCAAGCCAACTCCGCCGTGACCTGTTACATTATCAACGCCGTTTGGTACGAGACTCTAGGGAACTCCCCTCATCCATCGAGCTGTCAGTGGCCTGTGATACACGTCCATCCGAATCGTAGAGGACCACTATCCCCATCTTAGCTGCTAAAGCAACTGAATGACTGCTAGGGTCATCCCTCGATAGCTTGGCCTCGGAGTTATCTTTGGTAGCCTTCCTCTTCGCCTCGAGCTCCTGCCTCTTCGCTCGCCTTTCCAACTCTTGCTTGATCTGCTTCTCGCGCAACAGCCATTGTCGACGGTATACAACTTTGTAAGAATACTTCTAAGAATCCAGAGGTCCAAACCTTTCGAGGAGCCAGGCTTTGAAGGGCGAGACCTCTCCCTCTTCCACTTTTTCTTCCCACTTGAGAGGCCACCAGCCACCAAACCCGTGCAGGGTCGAAACATTTGGATGGATGCGCAGTGTGAGGAAATCTCTCCCATCTGTTCATGGGCTTCTTGCACTTGGAATCTATCGTGCAGATGTCGTAGGCGATGAGGGCAACTCTAGGCGCCTCGAGGATGGCTGACTTGTTCCGTATGGTGATGAGTACGTTCTCAGGCTCCACGTACTCATGCCAGACTCCTTTGTATACCTGTTCGACAACGCCAGCAAGTAGTAGCGCTAGAATGTCCAAGCGTTTCTCTTCGGTGAATTTGAACGAGTCGGGGCCGTCGGTGTGTACGCAGATTCGTCCCTTGAGAGGGATCAGGACCTCATCGGCACCGTGGCGGCATATATCTCGGATGCTCGTTCCCTGGATGTACTCCAGGAGCACAAGGCCTATATGTCGTGTCTTGCCCTCGAAGTCTGGAGAGTGGCTGGTAAGACAGGTCGTCCAACAGCCGTAATACTGAGGAGCAAGATGAGGATAGCCAGTCAGGTTGTAAGCGTGCAGTTCCTTGTATGCACCAGCCTCGCGGCTGAGTTTCATGTCAGCTCTGGAGGTCACCTTCCAAGGACCTTCTTCTTCGGGGACATCCTCCGGGAAGAACAGGGGGTCAAAGATCTTGACGACCGCAAGTTCGTGGGTGTCGGGAACGGGGAACTTGAGGTCGGTCGTAGGTTTGTGAAGAATCTTGACCAAGAGCACTTGATTATCGCCATCGTTGCCGTTGGAAAGGGACTCTATAATCTCGACGCCCAAGCTGTTGGCTGGATCACCGTGCTGGCTTGTGTCAAGTAGGTGAGGTCGGTTGTCGTCGTCGAAGCAAAGAGCAGTCATGGACATATCTTCCTCTCGCTCTGAGAGTATCCTCTTTTCTTTGAGACCATCTGGGACTTTGTAAGTCGAGCGGCCATGGGGATCTGGCGGCGAGTGAGGGAACAGTGTGAGCTTCTTTCCCGGACCATATTGCCTAAGGTCGGCACGGAGAGTGTCCATCATGTGTGATGAACAACGTGGTGTTCCAGTAGGTGTGTCAGCTTAAGAAGCGATCGTGCTAAATGAAGATGTGAGAGTGGTAACAAGAACAATAAGAGTGTCAGGAGAAGAGAATAGAATTTTGAGTGAGGAGGTAGGTCGGCAGGCGATCCTAAGAGGTTAAGATGTGAGGTAGGAGCTAGAGAGGTCGAGTCAAGAACGATCGGAGATAATTAGAGCCCCCGGTAGACGATGCAGGCAGGAAAGCCTCATGATCTATTTGAAATTAGCAGAACTTCCTTCTCCATAAGTTTTCTCAAACCTTGAAGCTCTTGACCCGTCACTGCACCGCAGATACCCGGAAGGTGGCAGCTAGACGCAGCGGAGTACGTAGAGTTTATGGCTTGTACTGCCGCAGAAAGCTTGGATTTAAGCTCAGTCTGTCAGCGCTGGAAACCTAAGCTGCCCATAAGATTTTGGCCTCTCCGCCGTGAGAGTTTCGCGGGAGGTTTAACTTTGCTGAAGATCAAATTGATGGAGGAAAAAATGTTTTGAGATGGAATTTACTGGGCAGGACATTTATCTTTCCACGTGTGAGGGTATCATTGCCATCATGTTATCAGCGCTTGAGGAAGACTTGGAATTTTGAAGGATATTTCAAGTTTGATGGTAACGTGAGTCGCTAGTCTATCACTAAATATGTTTATCTTTTTCCAAGAAGAAAAGGAGGCGTCCATCTTTCACCTCCGCCATTTGAGAAGAGGAGGGTCAAACTCGCCGGGTTTACGAGCACCAAGACGCGCCTGCGTCTCGAGGTGTTTTAAATACAGTGTTGTTTGCGTAACTTAGTTGCAGCAGCAGACCTAAAAAGTAACAAAAAAAAATTAGAAAATCATTTTCCTCTTCATGTTTCATTGCAAGCCAAAGCAACAAGAGAGAGGGAGAGGGCACCTACCTGTCCGCCACGACCAGACTTGGAATTGCTACAGCACTTTAACGCGGAGCAGCTCTCGCCCTTGTCGCCGCCCTTGGAGCATGTTCCCGCCTTTGCGCATTGGCGGGTCTCGAGGAGGGAGGGGAGGTTGACGGAGTCGAGGTTGCTTGGGACGGCAACGGCGAGGGTGGCGAAGAGAGCCATGAGAACTGCTGAGGCGCGCATCTTGGGCTGTGGGAGGTGTGTCGTGCGGGTTTGCTTTGTTTGTGGGTTTGGCAAGCTGTTGTGAGGTTGTTTTTGGCGTGCTGGAGGATCGATGGAAGAAAGGGTAACTATGTAGTTTGATTATGCTGTGTAGAGAATGGTTTTAGATGTTGATGGCGGGGAGGACGAAGTTGGAGGGATTCGCGGCGAGTTATATATCGACTATACCTTGGCTGATCACCCACGCGTGGTTTGCGATCGACTCGCATCCTCTCGTGGGAGGCACCCCATCCCCAGATGGATGAGAACGTTTGACATTTCTTAGGCGAGAACCGAATCCAGACTGCTGGGTGAACCGGTCCCGCTCGTTTGGGGCCTGTCTGGTCTGGTCTGATGTCGTGCTGGCTTACCGTCTGGGAGGGAGATCCGGAGTACTGGGGTTGTCTGTATGCTTTGGACGGGACGTATTCGACAATGAGTTGGCGTGCTTGCCCTGTAGATCATCATCATCCTCCCCCTTGTTCGAGATGAACCGCGCATGAAGAAAGCTCGACCTGTTTGGAAGGCATCACGAGTGGCACGAGTCAATATTACCACCTTCTGATGGGTAACTTGAAGAGGAACTTTGAAAAGTCTCCGGGCGTTTTGGTACCTGGGTATCCTGCTCGTCTCGTGAGGCAAGAGAGACCCGTCCCAAGATTTGGTAGAAGCGAGTTGATTGACATGACTTGGCGCGCGCGTAGGTCTCGTTTCAAGGCATCCTAGAAAGTGAGGGTTTGAGTCAAGATGCCGCGTGGTAGGCCTTGTTCCTGACGCGTGGGAAGCCGGGCGCCTTGCACGCGCCCCCAAAGAGGGGGGGGGGGGACCTGTAATGAAGAACGGGAAAACACAGGGGTCGGGGTGGTCATTTTCCTATTTTAGGGGACGGTATCATTGAGTCGTCTGATAGTCGTGTTCTTTTCTTCCGACGGAGTTTGTTATGACTGACTGGTCTGATATTTTTGGCATTTAAACTTTGGATGTCAAAACGTGTATGCTTCGTCAGCCTCCATCTCTCTCTTGTCTACCTTATGTATTCTTGGCCCGTCGTTCTGATCGAATAACGCTGTCTGCCGTAGGCGCGCATACACTATCATCTACGAATCGGGATTGTGCGTGTACGGGGTAGAGGGACCTGTTCGGGATCTGCCCAAGGATGGATATCTGAACCGCACTATGCTCTTGGCGAATATCGGTTGTGATCACTGGATGTTCTGTATGCTACACCGTCACGATTCTCGTCAGTTCAACAAGGAGACGCGGGATACACGAAGATGTTGCTGGTCAACGAATTCCGCGTCCTCTCAGGCTCTCCCGTGGCCATTGCCGCATCAGGTAGTCGCTACTTAAAAACGGCGCGTCTTACTGGTTCGATGAGAGTTCCATGCGACAGGGGTTTGCTCCCCACCGAATGAGGTACACGCCAACGATGGATGAGAAAAGACCATATCCGTAGACTTTCCCGTCTGTGCCCATGTCTGACGGATACACTAGAACATTGTTCCGATTCTGTATCGTAGTCTCGATACAATACGATGATGGGGTTACCTAGATGGCTTGTTCCGTGGAGACCACCGGCGGATGACCAGACCGCATGCCTCAGCTCTCTGACAAAGTCCGAATGTCGCATGGGGAGGGAGACCCGCTATTTACGGCATTGCCCGTTTCTAGAAGGAAGCGCTCGTCTCGGGTTTCCCTGCATCAGCCGGATTTACACCGCTGAGGGGGGGAGGGTAAACGTCTCGGTTTCACCTTGTAGAATTTAAACTTTTATTGGGTTTGAATTTTCCCGCCGCTAGGAATCTTTGGATGGCGGGAAGCATATTTTGGGTTGAGAGGGAGTCAGATGGGTTGTGTTCATGCATGATCAGGGTATCTCCCCCCCCTCCTTTTTTTCCGTCTGCAGTCTTCGAGGCGCAGGCGTATCTCGATGCTTTCAAACACGCCAAACCGGGCCTTTCCTCTTAGCTGGCGGAGACGGGAGATGTATACTTGCCTCATTCTTCATCTTCATCAACACGAATTCAGCGATGGACTGGCGTTTCACTCGATTATTAAATTAAAGTACTTCGTGCTAGTCAACTTTCCCCAGGCGTTGGTCACGAAACAGCCAAGATGCCCTTACTCATGATAGCAGAAATGAGCGAAACCCTCTCTCAAAACCATCATACAATTCATCTCAGACCAACTCCCCCCCGTAACTTGAACAACAGACCTCCCTCGAAACCTTCACGCTGGAAGGCATTCCAGCATACAGCATGGAAGATGCACAATCCATCCTCCAATTCCCCCTTCAGCTATCCCACTATCATTCTGTCAGCATACTTGAATCATGTCCATTGACAATGGAGCAAAGTACCTTACGAAAGTGCTTGAAACACTTCAAGAGGGAGCCCATGAAATTGAGGCAAAACTCTCCACGCTTCCCGCTCGTCGCGATGCGCATGACTCCAGTCCCGGCAGCAAGTCGACCCGCCACCGTCGACTCTTTAGCCATGTCTGGGCATTCCATCGTGATTTGGCAGTTTGTGTTGCCGATAGTGAACTCGGGCAAACCCGTCACAGCAAGGTAAGCAACTCCATATTTGACCAGGTAGGCCATGGCCGTCGGGAGCTTTGAGCCGGGACTTGGAGTCTTGAAATTCTTGATGATGCAGTCTCGCTCTTCCCGGTTCTGAAAACGTTCGTCTTCGTCGTCGTCACCGTCGTCGTCTTCGCTATCGTCGTCCTCCTCATCGTCATCCTCATCGTAGTCGTCATCGTCTTCGTCGTCTTCATCATCGTCATCCTCTTCGTCCGAAGAATCGTCTTCATCTTCTCCATCGGACGGATCATCTTGGTCGATAGGTACTCCATCCGATGGCTCGCCTCCCTCATTCTCCCAGAACCATGGGCGCAATGCCACCTGAAGTCCCTCCATAGCCATAAAGTCGTATGATCCAAGGATTCGGGGTTCGTGCTGATCATCACTCTTGAAGGGCTCCACGATCTATATATCGGGTCGAAGCGGGCGAGTAAACCCGGACATGTGATCCTGGAGAACCCAGAACTGTCTGCCATTGATAATTTCCATCGCGTGGATGAGGAAATCCATGACGGGGCAGATGACGTGCATTCGAAGGAGATACACCGCCGTCTTCCTGTCGAAATTCATAAGAAACACCGAGGTGTCCTTTTCCAGCCAGGGATGATGCTGCAGCTCGCCAAACTGGCCCTTGAGACCCTCAATCATCTCGGTCGCCAGTTTCTGATGCTCGTCATGGTCGACGCGGACAATTCGTTCGGGAAGCGAGCGGGATCGAATCCGCCTGCTTGGCTTGAAAATCATTCGCCCCCGACTAGGCGGCCTGTATGCGGGAAATATGATCGGGTACCATGGCGGCACAGGATGCACCTGGTACTCGGGCCAATCTTCCTTCTGGAGGATGGCTCGGACGAGCCGGGGGTAAGGATTTAATGCCACCGTATTTGGCGTTTCGATCTGTAGTTGGTGAAGAGAAAAATTAGCTTGGAGATGAGATCAAAGGCTAGTGATGCGATGGCGGGAAAATAATGAACCAAGCAATCATACATACGTCCTTTTTTTCGTAAGTCCCGATGGAACTTTCTGTCGCGACTCTGGTACGAAGCTAGAGTGACGTGATGAAGTCGTCTTTGTTGGTGGGCGGGAGTAAGGAAGGAAGGCAAGGAATCCTGTAGACCGCAGTGGGAAAAGAAAAAAAGAAGAAGAGTTTTCAGAAAGCCCAAGGTGAAGTCTGACACCATGACCAGACCCTCTCTGGCCTGAGGTTTTGGCACTGGATAAGATGAATATATCGCGGGTTGAATATACAGACAGGACCAGGCACTTACCGGCCCATTTTAACGAGGCCGGTTGCCCACTGGTGATCACCAACATCATGCAGACGTCGACTCCATGAATCACTCTAGCCAAGTAAGGTCAGCGAGTCCTCCCGGGAGTCTGGGACTGGATCTTTCTGCCTTTATTTTTCTGGTGTTCCCATCTCTCAGATGGGTACCATCATCGCTCAAGCCCCAACCTTACCTGAACACCCGACTGCTGGTAGTAAAGGCTGGGTACTCGGGTTGTCACCTCTGCCCTCTTCCGCTACCTAAGTAAGGCACGTTATATCTTACCCTACCTTGGATAATACCTAAGCCAAGCCAACGAGTGCCTACTAGTGGTAAATTATCTAAGGTAAGGTAGTTCACACAAGTTCTCGAGTCCTCCCGGCAGAGCTGATCCTCTTCCTATTGTCCATTTCCTTTCCAATACTCCATGTTTAATAGATCACTCACGTAGTCTGTAGATACGATACCGTGGAAGAGACCTTCAAAGACGATCGAAAATTTGGGACTACAAGCCCAATTACGTGTTACACATACGAAGCCATACGACTAAACATGGTTCCTGCACCGTAGACGCCGCGCCCAAGCAAAATGGTATTTTGGTTCTCACCGTCCGTTCCAAGCATTATTTGCATACCCGATTACACCTATCAAGGCCACCAACAAACAGAAGCTTTGTGATACAAGCTGTCCCAGCTGTCTGTCTCGGAAATGACACACTCAAAAGTAACCATGCTTTGGGATGGCGACGAAGATGGCGGTGAAGACACCGCCAACGAGTACGGCACAGAGCATTGCCTGAAGGAAGATGGTATCCTGGATGGTGCGCAGAGCAGGCTCCTCAATCCAAACCTCGCGGTCAAAGATCTTGCGGACAATGTTGCGCTTCTCATACTTGATGACCCAAGGCTCCGACTCGTAGCTATTGTTAGATCCAAACGTGTCGAAGGAAGTCTTGCGGTCGTCATTCTCCTCGTCCACGAAGAGCTCCCAGGGACGAACGTGACGATGGTGCATACCGTGGAGGACAACACACATGCCCTTGTAGGCTGCGACCAAGGTGGAAATGCCCAAAACCCATCCAATGGCAGCCAGTGCTCGCCATCCGCGGCCCGCACGGCTGAGAGTAATCAAGATGGCGACGACAAAGGCGATAGCAATGAGACCAACACCGAGAGCCCGGGCGAAGAAGACGCGAGCGGGGTTACCGTTGCAGATGGACCAACGAATGAAGTTGGGGTGAGCCTGCTGGCGGAGAGAGTTCTCAATTACTTTAATGGCCAAGCGGCAGGCCGTAGGGTGGGTAGTGTACGCGAGGGCGTGAAGAGTGGCGTCACGTTCCTTGGCCGAGAGGTTGAGCTGTCGCGGTGCACCCTCCATAATGTACGTGGCGATAACACGGTCAATCTCTTCACGGAATGGCTGGATGGTGACTAGAATCTGTCAACAAATGACTTTGAGCCCTCGAGTCTGACAACTTACAGGGCTGCTTGGCACCCACGGCCGCGAACGCATCACTGGCCTGAGAGCGGTACGAATCGGCATTCGACACGCCTTGAGACCCCGTGTAGACTGAGCCTTCGTAGTCGTTTGGGGTGCGTGGAGGGGTGTGGAAAGGGTTGCTGGAGTCTTGCACGATGCCGCTCGTGGCACCCTTCTTCTCGAAATCGGTCCCCTTGAATATCTCTTGGCCGGGCTTCTTGCGCATCCTCTGTGACTTTTCCTTGTTCATGCGTTGAAGCAGATCAGTCTCCATGGCTTCGGTCCACTCGGGGGCGAGAGACATGTCAGACGTCTTTGCTTCCCCAAAACGCTTCTGGAAGTCCCGGTGCCAGAGGAAGAATTGAAGGTTTTCCGCCGCATGCTCAATGTAGATGAGGTAATTCATGAAGTCACGTACGGTACAAGGCTATCAGATCAGTACTTTGGACAGTATCAAAGTCGTGAGGCCAACCTACAGGACATGTGCCGCCGTTGATAATCTTGTCGAAAGTGAGCGACTCCGGGATGCCCTGCAATTTTCCAGAACTGCCGGAGCGTAACGATGAAGAGGTGTTGCTCTGCTTTTCATCGCCACTATCAGATACATCTGAAGTGCTCTCGCGGGCGGAGCTGGTCTTGCTGACGTATACCGGTCGGCGGTAGGTGAGAGGTAGAAGACCCATAGTTGGATGTTTGATAGAGGTGACACGAAATGTCACAGACTTGTTGATAGTAGGTGGAGAAGCGAATGAAGTAGGTGATCTTAGGTTCTAGGTTGTATGACGGTGAGGATGTGTGAATGCCCAGAAACCTTTGGTCGAAAAAGGCCGCCTCTCAGTTGTAGTATCCAGGTTCAGGAATGACGTTCCACGAGTAAGACCGGACAAAGTTGAGGGAAAGAGAGTGGTGTTGGGCTTAAGATAGGGTTGGAACGAACTACAAGCTACTGCACGGTGAAGAATAGTGCTCGCCTTGAGGGAGGGGTGGAAGGGCTGGGAGTAGCGAAGAACACAACTAAGCTTGGAGATGAAGGAACGAGTGAACCGGTCGAGGGCACGGGGAGACTGATATAGCAGCGAGAGGAGAAACGCAGGCGTAGGCGTGCCCTTCAACCCGTGCCCAGATATCTCGAGAGTCGAGGCCTGATGGGCAGGGCCAGGTCGATGGCCAGACCCCACACACATTTCGACGGAAAGACGACTTTGTTTGGCCATGACTGGCTTCCGTTGACGGAGAGGGCTGAAGCTGGGCCAATCCAGAAAGCGCGAAATCGACCTGTGGCCGGGGTTCCTGTGGGACACTGGGACTTGGGATGGGTGAGGCGTCCAGACGTTTGTTGTTTCCTGGTGGAATGCGGACGGGTGGGAACGACATGGTGGGTAGGGATGGTGCTTTCTTCTCGGACTTGCTTGGTGATGCTGATATTGAGGCACGCTTGGCAGGCATGGAGGACGACGCAGAAGGAATAGCGCACCCGCGTGAGGGTGGAGGCGATGTACGAATACCGTGTAGTATGTATCTGTGTTTCTGAATTCTGTACGCAGCATAGGGTAGTAGGACATTGAGAGACATAGCCTTGGCCGTGGATGCATGTGGGTATGAAGGAGAAGAAGCAAGAATGGTGCTAGCATCCGTATCGTTGGTTTCCATAGTTTACGCAGCGAGCCCTTGCTTACCTACCACGCCTTGCGTTGTTGTGACCATTGTTTTGGACAATACGAAAGATCACAGCGCTTTGCGTTTGCAAGGTGAAGGCCCAAACTGCTGTACTATGGCGACAAGACAAATGAGGACTGAGTGAGCCAAAAGCATTGCGACGACATGACCAAGTGACTGGACGCCTCAGGAGCGCCCTATTCTCCCATTGCAGACCTGCTCCCAAGACATAGGTGACGAGCCTCCCGAAACAGCGAAATCACTGTCGATCTCTTGCAACATCGTGGCGATTGGTGGAGTGGCCCGGCACTAGCATCGAGGCTTTCCTGAACGAGTAAGGAGCGTGTGTTCGGCTGAGACAGTTCACAGCTGGGCTTGTCTTCCCTGCTTGGGGAAAATCGACTCTGCAGAGTGCAGAATTGGCTGATAGTAGGTACGGATACCTGTCGCATGGGAGATTGCAGGAGATCGGCAAGAGGAGAGCGGGGAGAAGAGACCCAAAGGCTTGGAATTTTTTTCGACCGGCGTGAGAGTTATGAGTGATGTCTTTGGAAGTTGGGTGAAATCCGTCAAATGTTCATCGGGTGCTGCTTTCGCCTCAAGTTGTTGCAGCAACAAGCGACACGACAGCAGCCAGCATCAGAAGTTGGGTCCGGAGTCGAGTGAGGCACGGGCGAATCCTTAGGACTCGTTTCTCTCTTTTCTCCAGGGGACCGGGCCCGGGGCACGGAGGCGTAGGAGGCGGCCGTAAGGAGGTGGACCATGACGAGAGCAGGCGGCGCCTCCCACATCAAGCCTCCAAGATACAGACTTCCTGTCGTCGTCTGGCTGTGGACGGAGAAGAGGCCCGGGTCCGAGAGGCCAACGCAGGACTCCCTTTGTTCGCCATGGCGCTGAGTTCATCAACGGATCAGGCGAATGCTTCCGCGCTGGGGAAGCTCAGGTCCGTTAGCCCCCATACCCAAAGCCCGTCAAGTCGGATCACGAAGGGTACTAGGTACTAGGTAACGTAACGTGGTCCAAGTCAAGTTTGACTTTGAGCCTAGGTGTGCCACTCGCCTAACGGCGCTCAGGAGAACTTGATCCGGCGTAGGGCAGGCTGTGAACAGACGCTGGGGCTAACGACACAAGCGCGGGATTGCTGAGAGGCGTGCCTGGAGTGGGCTTTGCTTGATGAGAAGTATCCGTATGTAGGTATACCCATCTGACCAGGGGAAGAGAGAGGAACAAGATGAGAAGAAGAAAGATTAAAATGCTGCCCAGGTGGAGGTGGAGGAGAAAAAAGAGGCAAGGGGTTAGGTAGTTGGTGGTGGTGGTGGTGGTGAAGGTACCTATTACGAAGTACCTTACGGATATTCTGTGCGGATACTGAGGTAGGAACTGTAAGGTAAGGTAGGCCGGAAGGTACCTTCCTTACTGGCAGGGTCCCCTGCATCGATGGTCTGTGCGCGTTCCTTCCCCGAGATCGATTGACGATGTTTCCTTCCTTCCCTCTCTGCATCTGTGCCTTGTTCGTACCTGTCATATGACTTTCAAGAAGCGACTTCCATTTGTAAAGAACCTTGCCCGATTCACTGAGGTTGAGCATTCGACTTATGTAATATGTCCGTCTGAATTCCTTTTCTTCGCAAACTTCATCAGACGAATTCAACGACAGACATCCCATAGATCAGACGAGATTACTTACACGAATGCTCCCCACCAGGATCGACCACCTTTGGCAAGTTTCAAACAGCAATTGCTTTTTGCCATATTATCACCTCATGCTGATACTCCCCTGCCTGGTTACCATGCTAGCCAAGGTCCTCATCAGCGAACCAGATCGGTAAGGCGAGATGTAATATCGGGACGACTAGCCTCTTCAACCCATCCCTGCGAAGAATGTGAAGAGCTTGAAGGGGCGCCTCAATCACGTCTAGGTTTTCGCCAATCGATACATTTATCCCTGCTTACATCAACGGCCAATCAAACCCTCGCTCAATCACCACCTTATCCTAGCTCCTGACCTTCACCCACCGTCACCCACCCGCCAGACAAGTCCAGCCAGCCTGAGTAAATTTCATATCCAGCCTGTCACATCAAATCACTACCTACCAAAAGCCTTGGTGGACTACCTCGGCTTATTCGGGCTCGCTACCTAGCGTCGCCGACCATGGTCGCCGTAGCTGTCGCCCCGAGGTCAGTCTTCGTGCGTCCATCCCCCCTCCAAGATGTGTGCCAACCGTCTTCCGAGCAGCGCCTTTTCTGTGTAGCGTCGATGAGCCAGCTATCCGATCGAGCCAGCTCTCAGTAGCTCTACTTTGCGAATCGGCCGCCTGTAACATTGGCAAAGACCACATCTTACTCCAACCTCACTTTCGCACCATCGCACCGCAGCAGCTGTCGATACAAAGGACAAGATAGCATTCAATTCAGGTCACAAAGCTGAGGACATCCCTGGTGCAAATCATTGCAGTCATCTCGAAGCGACCCCCCTCCAGCGGGACGGACGGCCCAACGAATGGCCAGAACCCCTGTGCCGAGCCAAACGTCACACGTTACCCGATTGCGACGCTGCTTCCGGCCCGAGAGGAACAGATCGCCAGGCATGTTTCCAGCTGCGTCCGGTACAAAGTATTGGCTCGCCTATCGTGCCGTACAATGGCCATGGTGTGTAGGTATCTGTGCTGCTCTGAACGCGGCGTGATCATATGCAAGCTGATGGTTTTCGTCACAGCCCGTCTCTGCTCTTTCTGTCGGGGCTTCTGGTAAACCTACCCACACTTCTTGATATCCTCAAAGGTCTCGATTGAAACGACGACAGGCTCGGACGACCTCATTTATCAACACGAACCGTCAGCCAGGGTCGATGGTTTGCTGATTGCCATCATCTCGTCCTCGCGCAGGGGCCGCTCTCTTCCCCTAGCTCTCACACCGTCTCTCCAGTCTCCATAACCGCCTCTTTGGATCGTGGCGTCAAGCTCCTGTCATTCGCTTGGCGACCTGCACCACACGACGCTAGCTCTCCCCTACGTCTTTTTACTCAAAACCAAGAAAATTCTCTAGCGTGAACCATGGCTTCAGTCACTTTGCTATCTTCGATGGCAAGATGCGTTCCATTAACGTCGGGAGCGTGCCGCCCATGCCATGCGCTGGCCCAAGGATCTCGACCTGGGTGTTTGGGTGCTTGGCTCCCAAAATTAGAGGGGACAGTCACTCGTACTTCCCGCCTCGTGGAGAACTCGCGAGTTCCTCGCTGTCGGCTTGCTGGTCATGTTTACTCCTGTCTTTGATATCTCGAACATGGGCCTCCTATGGGATGTCTTGACAAGAAATGTGGCTGTCTCGCTCCTCATCTGGTTGATAACATTTCCACAAACCTCAAGACACCATGGCGCAATTTCTACAGTGGCTTCACGCTGGATGAATTTATCCAACAGACGCACAGGTGTCAGCCTGCAAACTTCTGGACTTATTACTTCGAGACAAAAGCCCTGCCGCCAGAAACATTAATCATAGTACGAGCCATTGGAAGTTATGCCCTATTAGTCTCCGGGAAGGATTCAGATCTTCCCAGTTCAAACAATGTCTTGGCCCAGGGTATACAATCTACCAGTGCCTCTCAGAGATATCAACGGTATTGGCATCAACGCCATCCCGGAACCACCTCTCTGTGTCTTCAATTTTGACATCGTTCCCGCTCATCTGTCTCTTGCGCATAAGCCCGTTCTCAGCAAACGTCCAATCCTCGAGACCATACGTCCGCCACCACTGTCCCGACTCATCATGCCACTCGTACCAGAATTGAACGGCAATCTTATTCCAAAGGTCAGTCAGTGCACTCTCAAAAGCGCAGCCACAGCTCCAGGGTCAATGATGACTCTGGGGAGCCTACCTTGTTATCGGTGAAGGCGAACAACTCCTTGCGCAGCCGGTAGCCATTCTCTTTCTCCCACTTCTTGGTGAGCCATTGCTCAATCTCATCTCGACCTTGGAGAAAAGTGTCTCTGTTGCGCCAGATGGAGTCGGGCGTGTAAGCCATCTTCACTTTTGCGGGGTTTCTGTGACGATGTCAGTGGGCGTCTGCTTCGGCCGCTGATGGGCACGGACTTGGAGTTCCATCCATCCTGGGCCGCCTTCACCTTGATCCTCGCGGTTTCTTCGGTGAAGGGCGGGAACGGCGGTCTGGCTTCGTCCTGGCTAGCCATGATTCAAACAATCGGTCTTTCCAAGTGATGATGTCTAGAGTAATGGAGTTAATAACATGGCAATGGACAGCAGTTTTGAACTTGTCAGTCATGCTGGAAGAGGACACAGGCACCGGACGATGCAACCAATCACAGGCACAGGCTGCCGGAAGTTCGGCCTTTGTCAGCTGTCATCAGCGCGCCCTTGGCAAACACCGCGGGTTCTGCTCTTACGGAACGACGTCAGATGAGGCGTAAAAGTTTTTGAATTTCAACTTCTCAGCTCTGACTGAGAAATTCCAATCTGGTTTGAGCATGATGAGTCTTTCACACTCCGGATGGCTTTCGGAGAGAACACTGCAGTCACAAGCAAAGGCCGACGCCGGCGCAGCTTCTGCCTCAGCACACAGAGCCGCGCTGACATGCAGTGCGGTCTGTCGTGGTGAACCAGGTACCGGACGATTGACTTTCCTAGGTCCCGGCGGCCGGTTCTTCGGACGATAAAGTCAGGCAAATCCAGACAAGCACATGCTCGCCGACTTTGTACCAACTGCACGCCAACGACCACAACATCAGGAATGCCACGCCGCCGGGTCTTGAGCACCCGGACCTCGCCATGATGACAAAAGCTCCTAGAGGTCAACCTCTTGGCGCAGTAACTCCGAAGGACGTTGGTAGAGGGCCGACAGGCTGGATGCTCGGACGGCCGAGAGGGGCCCTTGTTCGCCTCCCCCCACCGGGGGAGAGAGGCCGGGGATCGGAGCCCAAACGGACGCGGCATAAATTCCCGGTCTTGCGTCATGTCACTCTGTGGGCCGAAAAGGTGCGCATTTGCTGCTGTTGTTATCAGAGTTCAAGGTACATGCCATCTATTCGTACCCTCCCCATACGGATATTCTGTCTGTTGTCACTTTGAATGCTGCTGGTGTCTACTTACTTAGTACCTTGAGCAGGGGGGAAAAAATACTTTGCATCATTGCGTGACTTTTCAAAGGGAAGGCGGGCAAAAAAAAAAAAAAAAAACTCCAGAGTTCAAACCGTTGAGTCCTTCTTCTTAGTGCGACGGTAGGTCCCCGTGGTCCGCACTTTTTTGCCCACTTGTATTTCGTCACAAAGACACTTTGCCTGTTGTACCTGTGCCTGAGATGGTCGGCGGTGGTCCCAGGAAGGAGTGGCCGCCCCGCGCCTAAGGAGCGTAGTATCCGTATCTCAAATACAAATCATCACGAGCTCCACTTCCCTGGAAGCTCGCAGAATTGCGCCTGGGACCCTGACTCGGCGATCCCTCGATATCCCGCCCACTACTAATTCGCCCTACCTTCCTTTCCTTTATCTGATCTTCTTTTCCCTTTTTCCCATTCTTCAACAATCACTCTACCAATCCACTCTCAAATCTCCAACGTACCTCTCTTCCTTTACCAATCTTCAACCAACCCAAACCAAATCATCAAAATGTCTGGTCTCAAGGTCGGCGAGCAGTTCCCCGAGGGCGTTGCCTTCCAGTACATCCCCCACCAGGAGGAGACTGCCGACTTCAAGGTCTGCGGTATCCCCATTAAGTACGACACCGCCAAGGGTAAGTCTCTCTCTGCCTCTCTCTCTCTCTCTCAAGTGAAGCATCACGAGAAAAAAAAAAAGACATTCGTGGCTAACTTCTCCCGTCCACACAGAGTTCAAGGACAAGAAGGTTGTTATCGTCTCCATCCCCGGTGCCTTCACTCCCACTTGCTCCGCCTCCCACCTGCCCGGCTACATTGAGCACAAGGACGAGCTCAAGGCCAAGGGTGTCGACCAGGTCATCTTCCTCGCCTACAACGACCCCTTTGTCATGTCCGGCTGGGGCAAGGCCAACAACATCAAGGACGACTTCATTGTGAGTTTTGCCCGTCTCTGTCTTCGCTGCTGTGTCTTTTTTCCCCCTTTTTTTCTCGACATGTTTTGTTCAGCTGGCAGCTCTAGCTGTGCTGTGCTGTTGTGTTGTTTTACCCCTCCCCCTCTTTCCGTGGAGCTCACCCCTTCACCGACTCCGATAAACGCCGCCCGCCCCCCACCCCCCACTCTGCCCCTCCTCAAGGGGGTGGGAAAAAGAGTCTCAACATGATACCACGATACGCTCAAGTCGCCTCACCTGCGACCCTGCATTCGTGTCCCTCTCCTTACCATCTTTTCGTCGCGCAATCTCACAATCACCGTCACAAGCAATGATGAACTAACCCTGGCTTTCCCAGGTCTTCGCCTCCGATGCCAACGCCGCCTTCTCCACCTCCATCGGCTGGAACCACGGCGAGCGCACTGCCCGCTACGCCATCGTCATCGACCACGGCAAGGTCGTCTACGCCGAGAAGGAGACTGAGCTCCAGGGTCTCGAGGTCTCTGGCGCCGAGCCCGTTCTCAAGGCTCTGTAAAGAGTTGGTACCTTGTGCCACTTGAAGATTTAATGAATTTTGCGTTGGGCGGGTTACTTCTTTTTTTTTATTACAAATGATGAGAAATGCCTTTTTTTGAGAAAACCAAGACATTGGTCTCTTTTTATAGACGAAAGAGGGGAAAGAATGGAAAACTTTTCCGACGACGCGTTTAGAACAAAAGATCATATAGAATTTTGAACTTTCGTTAGACGAAGGGTGCGGGGGTTTTCGAATCACGAGATACTTCTTCCGCTTATAGAAATAGAGACAATCTGAATGGTTCATGAGACTTGGTCACATTTCTGCCTGGCTTGATAACCCAGTCTCTTGGGGACATGATGGGTGTAATTAATCTGACAGCTGCAATTTGAGTGAGCTGCGCGGTATGAACTATGAACTACGTGTCACTGTTAGATGCCTTGGGAGAGCGCAGTAGAGCAGACGGACTTCGTCTCGGTAGCGGAGCTCGGAGATGCGATATTGCCGCGAAGAGGGACAGACGGGCGGGGGGTAAAGGAACCGAAGGAGAGGAATAGGTTACGTTTTTTCCCAACGCTGATCATGGCGTTGTTGAATGCTTTCACTTGGGTTGATCTCCTACGCAGATGTATGGTATACGTGCGTCTTGTTCTCATATTAGGGATGATACGGGTAATCTTGGGATATCGTGATACGAAAAGACGATGAATGTCAGTCATGGAGGTGTGCGTTTGATATGTTCTTATAATATGTTCTTATAAGGCTAGTGATGATGTTAACTTGGAACCTACCTAGGTAGCTGGCTTGATGTACTTGAGTGAAGACGATGTCATGGATGTTTATCAATGATCGTCTTTGTAGTGAATGGATGTAGAGGATTGACTTGGATTGTTGCGTAGTCATGTTGCGCATGAAGCCGTGGAATCGAAGGAGTATTATTGTCTCTCCACTGCCAAGGAGGGGATTATATGATATGACAGCCACTTGGGGGTGCAATTTGCTTGGTAACTTTTCTTTCCCCCGTCATGTAGCCTCGCCCTGTGAGCGACGAAGGAAAGGGGTGGGAAAGGTCGGCTTCGGAATGACACTCAGGTCCATGATATACTTCCCCCTTTGGGATAATTGAGAGACAGTCCCTCACTTTGATGTCAAGCTCCTGGAACTACATCGTCAACCACAAGGCACTGAGCACAACAAGCTCACAAAGTCATCGAATACCCGAAGAAGAATGAAGTCATATCACTGGCAACAATAACAAAGTCTTGAAAACGTTGGTAAGAATCCCCCGTTGGGACAATTCCATGCAAATTCCGTGCTACCCGTGAGATTGTGTAGTTATAGAACCCCAAAGTCCCGTTTCAAAGCACAATGAACCCTCGACTCCAATCAAGTTTTTTTGAACCTGGTCGTATTGTGCCTTTCACCAATCGTTTGTTGTCAGAAGCGTTCGTTCCTTCTCCAAAAAGCGGTCCCCCTCACCAGCCAGAGGGGAAAGAAACCTAACCCTCGGCCGGGATTGGTTCGGCCGTTTTTGTTCTTGCTTCCCGCATGTCACACCAGCCTCACGCCGTCTCGACAGAGAAATGTTTTTACTCTTTTTTTATTTCATCATGTCAAGAGAAGAAAAAACCCATCACGAAAACCCAATTCTTTTTTTCCCCATCCTCGAAAAGAGACTAGAAGAAAAAAAAGCTGTTTAACGGGTACGGGCCTGGACCTTGGGAGCGGCGCCCTTGGAGCCCTGCTTGGAGGCGATGGGGCCCTTCTTGCCACCGGCGGCAGCGGACTTGGCCTTCTCGGCCTTCTTGGCGGCGGCGTCGGCGTTCTTCTTGTCCTTGGACTCCTTGATGGCGGCGGCGCGGGCGGCGGAGCGGGCCTCGGGGCGCATGGAGCGCTTCTCCTTGATCACATCGAGGGAGGCACCGACGATGGCACGCTGGGCCTTGACGGTGCGGCGGGTGCGCTTCTTGGCGACCTCCTGTTGTGGGGGTCAGTCATCTGCTCTCTTGAGGATCAAAGTTCGCGACGCGTGAATGGGTTCGAGATATTGTTATCTCGAATGGGGAACCCTTGTGGCAGCGTCGCGAAGGTTGGCACTCACCTCAGAGATACCCTTGCGGTGCTGGCGACGGTACAGAACAGTCCAGGCAATGCGGCGGGGGTTCTTGCGCTGGAGGAAGAGGGACTCGGACTTTCCGTTCTGGAAACGGAAGATCTTGGAGTCACCGCGGACGTAGAGCTTACCCTGTATCATCAGAGTCTCGTCAGCGTCTTGTTCTCATGTGTGGTTTATGTCTTTTGCCTCCTCCGTGTAGTCGTCTCCTTGCAATCATCCTTCCCCTGTCGATCGATCGTCGGCCCCTGGCCTGCTCATTCATCCAAGTCGTTGCCCCTCATGTCCCAACTCTTCCATCTGGGTTGGAGCTCCCAAACGACCCGGCCATGCTTCAAACAGGTTCCCTCGATCGACGGGAGAAAAGATGATATCGGAGACGTAGGGAGGGGTGGGTGGCGTTGTCATCATCGTACCTTTCCAGGGTAGATTCTCTGTCCGGAGAACGTGTCGTCGTACGTGCGCATCTTTATAAATCAGTCAGAAAACAATCCCTCTTAATATTCGGAGTATCCTCCTATAATCGACCCTCAATTCGTTCTTTTCGTCTGGCCCAGCAAAGTTTGTCGTGGAAAGCGGCTGTCTTTCGGGGATGGTGACGTTGCGTTGTGTTGGGTAATCGCTAGGCCAGCAGTCGGAAAGAAAAAATCGAGGATCGACCGGACGAGGGGTAATCTATTGAACGTACATTGGCGGTATTGAATGCGAACGTTGGCTGACTTGTCGATGAGGTCAAAGGGTTCGGGAAGGGGAGGGTAAGACCAGGCTGGCACTCTTCGCGAGATTCAACAATTTTCGACTCTGGTTCGGAAATTCGTCGTGGGAGGGTAGAATAGCCTAGTGGGCGTCAACCCTACGCGGACGGGACGAAAGAGTGGGCCCGTTCGCGGGTGCGTATGTCACGTGAAGATAGCCATCACCGATACTGACAGACTTGTGCTGCGCCACATTTCAAAGTGCTGTGGGTGTGTGGCTTGCGTGCCCCAGAAGCTCCACTCTCAACTTCAACTCGGGTTGTGTGGTCTACGACACAGGTTCATGCTTGAGAGAAGACGTCGAGAAGACAGTGGTGATGAAAATTTGGCTGAGGGCGACGAGACCGCTCATGAGCAAATCACGGTCGCCAAAAATGCCAGTCGACCCCGATGAGATTGCAGATGTTGTCCTAGAGCATTTCAAGAAACTGCCCGCAAAACGTAGGCCCCAGGTTAGAGACAATGGCCTACATGAATGGGTTCCCCTGAGCGGCATTGTTGCTGAAAAAGATGGCGTCTTGACGTGCCTATCGCTTGCGTAAGTGCCATGGCCACATCGATGATATAGTACAGCGGAATACGGATCATATACCTGGTCACTGGTTCATGATGGTACACTCTCAAGACGGTCTGATCTTGCTCATTTCTAGATGTTACACATGGACTGTAGTAGCTCCCATGATCCGTAGCAATATCAAACTTCATTCCACTTCATTACCATCACCCATGACCACCTGGCTAACACCCACCGCAGAACGGGCATGAAGTGTCTCCCAGCCAGCAAACTCCCCCTAGCAAAAGGAAATGCCCTCCACGACTGGCATGCCGAAGTCCTCGCCATCCGCGCCTTCAACCGTTACCTCTTGGACGAATGCGACACCCACTCGCAGGGCAGCTCACCCACCTCCGACATCATCACAGGACGCCCCCCCTCCTCCATCTCTCCCTCCTCACCCCAACCCTTTGCAATCAGAGACGACGTCACGCTACACATGTACTGCTCCGAAGCCCCCTGCGGCGACGCAAGCATGGAACTCACAATGGCCGCCCAAGAAGACGCTTCACCCTGGGAAGTGCCCCGATCCTCATCCTCTCCATCTGGCGTAGCTACTACCACTACTCCACCCGCTCCCGCTTCCAGGACAACAACAGACACAACCCCCCTCCCAGGAAGAGCCTACTTCTCCCACCTAGGCATCGTCCGCCGCAAACCAGCCCGCGGCGACGCGCCCCCAACAGCCTCCAAATCCTGCTCCGACAAGCTCGCGCTCAAACAATGCACCTCTCTCCTCGCCTCGCTGACCTCCCTGCTCGTTCACCCAGGCAACGCCTACATCTCGTCCGTCATCCTCCCGGAATCGGAGTTCTCCGCCACAGGCTGCGAGCGCGCCTTCTCAGAGAGGGGACGGATGAAGGCCGTAGCGGCGGGTGAAGCGGCGCGTTGGAAGGGCGGGTACCGGTTCTCGCCGTTCGAGGTGTGCACTACGTCTAGAGACTTTGAGTTCTCGAAAAGGCGTGTTAGGGGACGGCTTGGTGTTGGAGCGGAGAAGATTGCGGCGAGTAACCTCGCTGCTGTCTGGACGCGGGGTGGTGGCGTGGACGAGGGCACGATGGGCGGCGTGCTGCAGGGGCGGAAAGCGTTTGACGTCCGGGGCGCGAGTTTGGTTTCTAGGCGGAGGATGTGGGAGCTCGCGGCGGCGGTGGCGGAGCGGGTGGCTAGGCAAGGTAACGATGATGACGAGGGTGAGGTAGGGGGTTTGTTGCGGCGGGCGTTGGATGTTGATGCGTATGGCGAGATCAAGGGCGGGGAGATGCTTGCTTGTCGGAGGGAGGTCAAGGAAGCTGCGAGGAGGGTTGCGTTGGCGGGGTGGGTTGTTAATGTTGGGGATGAGGAGTTTGCGAGGTTGTAGAATGGAATTCGCCACGGTGATATGGATGCTGAGAGGCATGAGTGCGGCGCAATTGGGCGAGCATTCTGATTCACTCTTCACATCCTATCAACTCACAATCTCATCACGCTGAGTTTAAATGGTTGACTTTGTCGAGACCTCAATACTGCGCAGTTTGGGCATGAACGGTGAGCCTTACGTGTCTCCTCAGAGCTTGTCATCTCCCCTCGCCGTCTCGAGACACCACGTCCATGCACACACATAATTTCAACCGCCGGGAAACACATTGGGGCGTCTTCGTATCGATCGATCTTTGCGTTGGAAGTCAAGTTTGTATCTCGTTAATTTTTCCCATTCCTTAAAACCCACGCGCTCGTTCATAGATGATAGGCAATCCGCGGAACCCCAGGACGGTTTCGATCTTAAAAAAACTCTCTCTTCTCTCTTTCTCTCTCGAACTCCCATGACAAAAATATAAAGGTAGTCGCAGAGAGAGGGGGGCACCGTTTGGTTTGGGAGCTTTTTTTCATTTATTGATCTTTTTTCGGCAAATCTTTCATCCTCTGTTGTGAAGTATTTTTTTGCCGCTTACTCGACCTTGCTCTCAAAGTTCTCACCCTCGACCAGGTCGGGGATGTCGTCCTCCTCACCATCCTTGCCCTCCTTCTGCATGTTCTGGTAGCTCTCGGCGAGCTTGCGGAGCGAGGCGAGGGAGTCGGGGCCAAGCTGGTTGAGGATGCCGGGGACGAGCTCGGTGAGCTCCTTGTCCTCACCGTTGCCGTAGATGGCGAAGGTGTTGGCGGGGACGGCAGCGTGAACTAGAAGAGTTTCATCTTTAGCATAGGTCCGAGTACTTCGTGCGATGAGAGAGGTATGGGAGGGTAGAAGAGCTATCCTCTGGTGAAAGAACAGAGGTATATCGGGGAAGGGTATGACGGTGATTGTGGCTGCTTGGTGGTCATTTACCCTTGGGAGCAGCAAAGTGGATGACGTTGCCGTCAGACTTGAACATGTTGACCTCCTCAATGGCCTGGATGGGCTGGACGTTGAGCTTCTTCAGGGCAGCCTGGAGCTTCTTGTCGTCGGCGGCGGAGCGCGCGGGCGCACGCTTCATCTTGCGGCGGGGAGTGCCCTTGCCGCTATCGTCGGGCGAAACATCGACACGTTAGTCATCATTTCCTTCTTTGTAAACACTTCGCGAATGGGCGGGTTCGGGAGTTGCGTTTGTATGCAATTTTGTCTTTTTTCTGGATATTCCGCGGTGTTCTCGGTGAAGAGAAGGGTGTAGGAAAAAATGAGGGGTCAATTTTCGGAGGTTCACACATACCCTGCGCATCGCGTATATTAGCTACCAATTTCAAAACCGACAGCATCACGACAGCATAGAGACAAAAGACATTGATATAAACATACCGATACGCGCGGAGGCGCCGAGCTTCTTGAGGCGTTCCTGAACGTCCGACATGGTGGGCAGATTGGCTCGAAAATTGACGAGTTTGGGGAGGGAGAGGGACGATTTGGCGTGGTGGTTTTGCGGGTGGGGGAAAGGGAAGCAAGCTGATGCTGTGCGGTCGGCCTCAGGGCAATTAGCAAAAATGTGTGGTATGGAGGTGGGAAAAACCCGGGCGGGCAGCCACCGGCCGACCCCCCTCAGGCGAGGACGGGAGCTACGACCACACGCATATTCCCACCCCGCCCTCTTTCCTTTCCCCTCCCGTCCCGTGTGTGCAGCGCCCGAGGGAAGTAAAATTCACTTGAGGTGGGCAAACTACTCACCGCGATTCGTCTTGCGTTTGTCACACGTTTAATTATCTACCACAAGGCTGAAGCTGCCTCTGTCAGCTTTGCGTGACGAGGGTGATGCGATGATGGAGGTTTTGTGCGTGCCAAGAATTCCCTTCGCTTGCGGAAATAGTATGTGCCGAGGTACGTTCCTTTTTTCCAACCTCACCGGGAGCACACCGAATGGGGTGGGGCCAACTGGGTGATGAGCTTTTCGGCTTGCCCTCTTGGGTGGTGTTGGATGAGGTTGATTCTCTTTGTCAATGACAATCACTGTCTCCTGACACGATGCATGCTTTTATGTCTCCATCGATAGGCCGATATTGATACGCCCATACCAACAACGCAACACTGCTGCCGCGAAGTTTGTCAATTTCATTCAAATGTCTTTGAGCCCTCGAACGCCAGAAAGCAACCCTCAGAGGTCGGCATGGTATCTTTCGTTGTTATACAGCCAAACATGGCAGAATCCCAGACCCTCCGAGTCCACATTGATATAGTACAATCCGTCGCAGAGTGACAGGGCATCAATCCAAGTCATCCGACATTCCCGACTCCTTGCGCATCGCCGCTTGCTGTGCCTTGAGATCTGCCTCTCTTCTCCTCTGCTCGTTCACGCGTGCTTGCTTTTGTCTCTCGATATCTTCGTCTCGCACCGTCCAGACTGTCGGCTGTGTTAGCTTCATGCTGAGCAATGATTCCAAGGTGTGATTGGCGTACTCGGCTTGTTCGACTTGGAGTATTCCTTCAGCTTCGTGACAAATTGGTCAAACTCCTCCTGCGTCTTTTCGCGGTTCGCAAGACTCCTCGCCTGCAGCTCGGGGTTGTATCTCTTGAAAAGCTCCTCCTCCGTCGGTGACACCCACATGGTGAAGGCCGGACCGCCCACGCAAAAGATTCCACCACTATGCCCATCTGTCAGTTTGCCATTCGCTGAAGTCCTCGGACAGTCTCAACGTACCCAAGCAGCATCTTTCCCCACAACTTCCAGTTCGTAGCCTTCTTTGTCGCCATGGTGATTGAATTTGTGCGATGCAGCGGAATAGCAGTTAGGCTGTGACGATTTGGCGAAGCTCCGGCAATGGAGGCTTGAGTTCGGGGCTTTGCGACACAGAGGCAACCCTCTCACAATCGATGACGAACCTGACGCGCTTGATTGGAGATCTACCAGTAGGCACCCACTTTGGAAGGCGGTGGGAAGCTGCCATGTCGGGCCTCCTTAGGTAAGCTTGGACTCATTGACTTACGGTGGTCCATGCGCTCTCTCGAGATGGCGTGGCTAGTGCTTCCTGCGAGACAACACCTTTCATCCGCACTTTCTTTGACTGGAGGTTCAATCACCAACGTGAACAAGACATGGGCTCGAATCCGTTCGAAAGTGTGGCACACTAATACACCATCAACTTTCCATGATCGTCAAAACCCACAGACCAGTTCTCATCTACCCAGCGCATCTCCGCAACCTCGTGGCGCAGGCGGAAGACCACATGTCCGAGTGGGCTGTGCTCACTGTCACCAACATCGAACAAAACGTTTGTGGTTGGACGATGCCACAGCCCTTTTTGGAGACAGGCAACGCTCCAGATCGACATGCAGGAACGCAAGAAAACGTTTCCCGTGCTCCCCTCCCCCCAATGACAGGACGAAATTGAGCACCGACCGTCGTGAGTTGCGGCGGGATATCCCCAGAAAGGGAGGCCACTTACGGTCCATCAGAAACCCATGTGCTGGCCAAGTCATCAGTAGTTCAGTTACAATTGTTCACTTTCTGTCGTTGTGGCAAAAAAATTCAAAAGGCCTCCGTCTTCAGGGGCGTAGTGTCTTCCGCGCGTCTGAGGTCTTCCTATGCATCGTGATTTGACCGTTGAGGATTAAAGCCATAAACCCCACCTCACGTGGAAACGCTGGTCTTGGCCGCTCAGCCCTTCCTTCGAGGCGGGAAAGAAACCGCTCTACTCCGAACGGGACGGAAGCTGACGAAATGTCTAACCCTCCTCACCGCATGCTTGGCTGCTTGGCCGTACGTTGACCGGGCCGAACGGCCTTGCTATTCGACCTTGGTTGTTTCCACACTAATTACATTGTAGAGGTGGTCGAGAAGTGGAGGCGACGAAGGCGACCGTCGTAAAGCAATACGATAGGGTAGAGGCCTCCTGAGCGTGACCAGAGAGGCTGATATACCTTCGACGAATAGCAGGACGGCAGAGACTCCGTCACAAGGACATCTAGTAGTTGCTCTCGAGTTCCTGCCGAGTGACTTTCCCGCTGAATGATGCATTTCCATGTAAGAAGGAATGCCACAACGAAAAGCAGAGACTAGCGGCGCTGCCTCGGGGTGGTTGCATAAACAGGCATTGCTGTTACTGAATCCCGCAACCGTCCACCAGCATCAGTTCAGTATGGTGTACCAGCACCCGCGCTCCGGGCAACAGGACGGGAGTTGACGGGAAGCGAGAGAGATGAGACGAAATGTCGCGGACAGGCTCAGCGCACAGAGACTCTGCGAACCTAATTCCCCCTCGTCTCGCCGAGGGTCCTGTCGGTACACCAGAACACCAGACATACCCGAAAACGGGGTTTAACAGGAGCCTGGACTGTTTCTGCACCCTTGCTTTTTCGGTTCTCGATACTTGGGAATAGGGTCATCCTCATACTCTCCTGATAGATTGCTTCATGTTTTGGGAAGAGGTGAGCAGGAGCCGAGTAACAGCCGGGCCCCTGATGCTCACGGCTGACGGCTGATGGGTGATAATACTGGATCCCTATAAGGCAGAGGCCCTGGGAACAGCAGACTCAAAAGGGGCGTCAGGCCAATGAGATTCGCCACTGGGGAGTTTCTGATACAGCGCTCTTGTTGTGTGCACCTCGAGAGAGAGACGCGGAGCCGGAACGCATTGCAGCAATGCTCGTTCAACGGGTCCTAGGGGGTTTGTGATTGATCCCTGCTTCTTAATAAGGCACATTGTGCAACCCGGGTCAGGCAGTCAGGTGAGAGCAGGCGACATGCCTGATCAGCGTCGTTTTTCTTAGGGCACAAGATTGCATCGTTTGTGGTGGCTGATGAAATAGGTATCCGTACTGGAAAGAGCAAAAAGGAGGAGGTTGTCAAATGAAGCTTTTTGGGGGTGTTGCCATAGAGGCACCTAATTGAGGTTAGAATGTCTCTGGTCCTATATGCCTCGTGACGACGAAGACGGAAACAGAGTGGTCGTTGCAAATCATTTGTTAAAGACAACTGTGACATTCCATTGATGGTTTGCTGGACTGACATCTTTTTTTCTTTTCTGTTCGCAAAATGGATGAATGAGTGTGGAGGGGAAGTGGGTTGTGGAATGTAAAGGCTGGGAAGCATGGAGTCAATAGACCCATCCACTTGGAGTAAGGTACAGTAGGTACCTATGGATGGACCCAGTCATACCAGTAAGGTGCGGTACCTTGCCGTGGCCATGACCTCAGTTCCATGCCGCGACACCGGGAAGACCCTCGTTGCAGCGCTCGGATGAACCTTTCCTGTGAGGGCTTCGTGCTGCGGCTGTCCAGGCGCATGGTGTACCTCGCTGAGGGCAGGAGGGTAGAAAAGCGGGAGTTGAAAATTGTCGTGGGGCCGGCGGCGTTTTAGGCATGATTGCCCAACTGATCCGGGATATCCTCCCTCTAGCTGCGGTACTCATGGAAGGCTGTTGGTTTTTCGACCATAGGTACTCTGTAGTGTGTAATCTATCCAGTCTGGAAGCTGAGGGGCGGATCGCGGGTGGCCCCAGAGAATTAAGAGTACAGGATCCAGAGAAAAAAGATTAATGTTGTTGTAAATGCAACGAACAGGCTGGCGCAAATTGAGGGCGGTGCTTCTGTTGGATCCCGCTTCTTTCAATGCGCCTGAAGTTCTGAAGTACAGTACTGGTTTGCTGTAGCCCCTTCCCCCTCTGCAAATGCAAAGTCAGGCAGAGTTCTCCGTAAGAGGAACCTTGAGCTAGCGGCGGCAGTGCGAACGCTGCTTCCGTACCTTGCCTTAGTGAGGTACTTTATTACTTGCCTTAGTAGCGCAAGTACCGAAGTAGCGTCGTATCGAGTGGATGAGCTTCGTCTCTGGTGTTGAAACCATCTTGACAGGCCGAAAGGTACGGATCCTTGTGATCGCGAAGACGGTGATGGTGAAAGAGTACAATCATCAACGCTGTTCGATAGGTGTCACTTTTACCATCTACAGACTCTGGCCATGGTGTTGACACCAGAGATGTCAATTATAGAGCACCTCCTTCCGGGTGGCATATCATCACTTGGTAGGTAAGGTAAGGTGCCTCAAATGTAAGATCGGGTACCTTAAGGGATGGTAGGGAAGCAGGAGCGACATGGACAGAAGATGGAAGGACACGGCCCCGACAAGCGCCTTCTCAAACACGCTGTCGTCATTTTGTCGCTGTTGCTCAGGGACCTTGATTTGTTCTCTTTTTCTGCAACAAACAAGACGCAGACATCAGTCCTATACTGAATTGCCGTATCCGAATGTGTATCTTGCTAACGCTGCTAGAACAATCCAACTCATTTCACGAGTCCAAGTACCTTAATGTATCCGTTAGTAAGCACTGCACAGTTGTATTCCAACGATATGATTCTTCTCAAATCTGCGACGTGGTGCAAAAGAGAGGGAGTGTAGAAGAAAGGTACAAAAGGTACATGGCCATG